CCAAAGTTAGCTCTCCTGAAGTCCAAGGTTTTGATCTTACGTATCGCCCTGCTTCCTCTACACAGGATCCTGAAGTTCACCATTTCATGGTCACTGCAGCTGAGGCTACCCCCAGCCTTCACATCCTCCACCAGTCCCTCTTTGTTCGATAGCACAAGGTCCAGCAGCATGTCTCTCCTCGTTGGCTCCTCCGCCACTTGCATCAGAAAGTTATCATCGATGCGGTGCAGGAACCTCCTGGACTGCATGTGCCTGACTGTGTGGTCTTCCCAGAAGATGTCAGGGTGGTTGAAGTCCCCCACGAGAACAAGGACCTGTGACTGTGAGGCTACTTTCAGCTGTCTGTAAAGGCCTCATCAACTTCCTTCTCCTGGTCAGGTGGCCTGTAGTACACACCCACAGCAGTGTCATCCATATGAGCCTGTCCCTTAATTCTAACCCATAAACTCTTGGCTCCTTCTTCATCTGCCCCCAGGCAGAGCTCAATACATTCCAGTTGCCCCCTCACGTACAGAGCGACTCCACCACCTCGCCTTGTTGGCCTGTCTTTCCTAAAGAGTGTGTAGCCATCCATGACAGCATTCCAGTCATGTGAGCTGTCCCACCATGTCTCTGTAATTGCAATGAGATCGTGGCCTTGCGACCGCACACAGATCTCTATTTCTTCGTGCTTATTGCCCATGCTGCATGCATTGGTGTACAGACATTTCATGGAGGAACTTGGGCATGCTGGTTTCCCTGGAGGGGTGCAAGAGGGATCTGCCACGTCCATACCCGCCCTTAAGCTTGTTGGTCTTTTGCTTCTCCACTTGGGACACAGCTGAGGAACATTTGTCACTGCTCTGATTGGCCACACTTATTCCCCAGCCAGATGGGATGGCTTGAGCATTGTGACTTTGCCCCCCACCCCCCGAGTCCTTCAGTTTAAAGCCCTCCACACCAGTCTGGCTAGCCTGCTGCCAAAGATCTCCTTGCCTCTTCTAGACAGGTGGGTCCCATCCCTCTCTAACAGGTTATAGTCATTGAAGAAAGTCCTGTTGTCATAAAAACCAAAACCCTCATGGTGGCACCAGCCACAAAGCACGGAGCTGATACTCGTAATGCATCTGTTTCTAGCTGATACCTTTCCTCCAACTGGTAAAATCGAGGAGGACTTATTCTGTCTTATTATATGGTGTACTAGTGCAGTTTTTGCACTGGTGACCAGTGGGGAAGGATTCTGCGCCCATGCAAGTGCCGTAACAAATGAAAATGTTGGCTCCCAAAGGGTTTTTGGTCATCTCTTATGTCAGTCAAGCTTGGGTCTAGTGCAGTGGTGACCTGCCCGTCTTACAAGCTTTTGCATACCATGACACGTCTGTGGTATATCAATATAAAATACAGGATTTGAACATCTTCTGGTATATGTGAGGCTGTTCCTTTTCTATGGTGATGTCCCTCAGGAATCTGACTGTGGAAAAGCTGAGCGTTTGGGAGATGACACAGAACTGAATTGAGACATCTGCTTTTTTACGAGCTTGAAAAACCAAGATGTGAGTCTTCCTCATGAGGCTTTTGGGTATATCAGCATTTTGTCAGGCTTATAGAAAGAGTGGAAAAGCTGTCAATGCGTTATTCAAATGTATTGTTAATTCAAATCTGAAAAGTCCTGCCGGAGGAAAGAAGATTCTTTCCTCATGACAGCCACCCTCTGACTTTGTCAGATGATTTATGAATTTATTCAAATACCAGATTTTTTCATACTAACTACGTCCTGTCTTCTTTGTTCCTTAAGCAATGTCACAGAGAGCGACAACACCAACCCAACTGAGAGCACACCTGTCTCCTGCTACCCTTGTAACATGATGAAAACCGAATCCAAAGAGCCTGAGAGCACGATGCCTTTGGGAAGCACCTCAGCTGAAGCTCTGCCTTCAAGGTTGTCTTGGCCAAACCATTTTTCAGGAACTGCTGAAGGCCTGAATAGGAGCGATTTCCTGCTTGATCCAAGCAGGAGCTACAGTTACCCCAGGCAGAAGACTCCAGGCACGCCAAAGAGAAACTGTCCAGCACCTTTGACTTTTGACTTCGATGGGTGTGAGCTCCCGGCGGGGTACTCCCCGCTGACCCCAGCAGAGTTCACAAACACCATCTCTAGCTGTCCAAAGTCGGCAAGTTACTCTCTAGACTGCACTGACGAGAAAACTCTGGGAGTCAGCAACGCAAAGCAGAGCCATTCGTGTCCTGCCTTACCTCCTCGGGCACCGAAATCGAGTGAAGAGAAACCAGTTACAGACATGTGTCCCTTGCCGCTGAAAATAGATGGTGCTGAGGAGGAGCTGAAAACTGGTTCTCCAGACCTCTTGGAAGATCAGTATCTCGTTAAAAAGGGCATGCAAGAGACGTTCTCCGTGTCTTATCCCTTCTCATCTCCCCTCCACCTCCAGTTAGCACCAAGGTCGTGTGGGGACGGCTCTCCCTGGCAGCCGCCCACGGACCTTTCTGGACTCTCGATAGAGGAAGTGTCTAAATCGCTGAGGTTTATTGGTCTGTCAGAAGATGTCATATCCTTTTTCGTTACAGAGAAGATTGATGGCAATTTACTGGTTCAGCTTACGGAAGAAATCCTGTCAGAAGACTTTAAGCTAAGCAAGTTGCAGGTTAAGAAAATACTACAGTTCATTAATGGCTGGCGGCCCAAGATGTGATGCCGACTAGTTATTAATGAAACTTTACGAGATGTGCTCAGTGCACTTCAGCTAATACATCCCTTTCTGGTTTTTGCACTAAAAGCCCTTCCTGTAAATAGTAGTAGAAAAATTCTTACTATGCAGATAAACGTTTTTGAGTGGTGAATGGATTTTTTTTTTTTAATATGTCAATAATAAAGGTAGAGAATCTGCAGAGGTGTGCCTTGTGCATCCCTGAACATTCAACAGCTGCTAAAAACTGGACACTAAGGGAACTTTTACTCCGTAGTCTGTTAAGACTTAGTCGTATTTATTACTGAAAAATTTGATGCTGAAAGACACACACCAATCCAGTTTACAGTTTTGTGTCAACTGCAAAAAATGTATTTCATACGGGATTATTTCTGTTCAAATAATATTTGGCAACATGCTGTGACTTTCTTCCGTTTCTGCTAACAAAAAGCATGTTCAGATATACAAAAACATTGTTTTGACACTACATCTGAAAAGGCTGAGAATTGCTGTGAAATGCCACTAATACACTATTCTTGCAGCATATTTTTATTAACAGTATATTCCTGACTACCTGTGATATGGATACATTTTCCATGTTACTTTGAGCAAAAAGAGTTAAATGTTTTTGAAACAAGAGTCTTGCTTAGCTCATTGCCCAGAGGGGAGGGAGAAGGGGGATTTTCCTACTGAGCCACTCTGCCCTGGCCAATTAAAAGTTTATGACCTGTAGATTTCAAAAGTTGCTTTCGTAGTCAGATGGCTGGAGTAAGCGGCATGACTGCTGGCCGTGCAGCTTGCTCGTGGGAAAGGCAGTTCAGTGCGCAGACTGCCCTTGGCAGATCCTGCCCACCGCAGTGGCCTGCTAGCCCAGCCCTTGCTGTAGCCTTGCTCGGACAAAGGGCTGCCCCGCATAGTTCCTCTGCTACTGTTACGATCATCGGAAAATGCGCTTGATGTGCTATCCTATTGCCGCTGCCGGATCTGCGTGGGAAGGTGACAGTACTCCTGTGGGATGCCTTTGAAATAAAGCGTTACCGAGGTGGGAACAGAAACAGCACATGGCAAGCTGGTGGGAAGGAGCCTAGTGAGGGTTTGGGCCATGCCTTGGGAAGTGCTTGTGATGTTGAAGTTCACCTGTCTTGTGTGCAGTGGGCTAGGAGGATGTGGATGTCAAAGCAGGAGGGTCTGCAGCATCTAAGATGGGCTAATTAGTTACCCAGCTGTGAAAACTCACTGCAATAGGTGTCACGTGGAAGCAGGAGTCAGAAGGGAGCGCAGAGGAGGGAAGGAGGCATTAGGCTGCCCCTGGAGATCTTTCAAATTTCACTGCTTGGAAGGCTAGAAATAGGATTAACTTTTGACAGTCCATTGCTGATTTCCTCTGCTTGGCAGAGCTCTCCAAAATGTGTCTAAACCCCAGGATCCTCTGCCTTTGTAGTAGTGAATGCAAGGATTTGTGGAGGTCCTCAGGTAATAGTCTGTGGTGTCCCTCCTCAGCAACTGTGCGTGCCCAGGATCCTCAGGTGGTCAGAGCCAGGGATGCGGGATCAGCTTCACCTTCACCTGCTGCTGAGCAGAGCCCTGACCAGGGTGACACCATCACCTGCTTTTCTCACCTTACTGAAGTACAAAACAATCTCTCTTTTTCCGTTATAGGGCACGTAGTGGGAGCATCGAGAGGAAATACAGAGGAGGGATGAAAATGAGAGGCCGATTTTGCCTGTTTTCTTAGCCTTATTGACTCACTAAAAAGAATTTATTTGCAAATGGAATTTTCTGTTGCCTGGGCAAATTTCATGTCATGTCTCCATGCCGAAGCCAAGATGCATCATTTGTCTCACAGTAATGCAAACCACCAGTTCCCAACTAGAGAGCAAAGCCCAGCTGACGTGGGTACTAGAATGCAGTGAGCCAAAAAACATCCCAGTAGAAAAACCCCAAGAGTTCATAATTCTGCTCTTTTGCTTAATGTATTGACTTTTAGCAACAGATCAATAGCTTTCTCCAGATGCGTTTTAATTAGTGTCCTAAAATATTTTAGCTGCAAGTAAGACTAAATGAAATTTAAGTACTGCTCAGATGCCTATGCTTGTTGTGAGGCACGTGCAAGTTGCAGTCAATTGCATTTTAACCCTCGCTATGTCAAATGAGCGTTCAGATTCGAAAGGGCCAAATTTTAAATGTTAGGTACTTATTTTAGTTTTGCTTGGCTTGTTAATTCCAGGTAAAAAAAGTAAAATATCTCTCTCAAAAAAAAAAAAGAAAAAAGAGAGATTGCAGTCTTGGTAATATTAATGTTAAATGTTGCTAATGCCCCCAGGATGTGAACGTCCCCGAGAAAACAGTGTTCTTTGACTATGGATGGACACCTGTTCTGTTATCTCTGCTTACCTGCTTGGAGCAGTTTTTTCTGGCCAGCAGCCCGGTGGAATTTGCATTCGTGAATGTGCTGCATTAACATCACATACGCGTAGACCAAAATACAACTGGCCTGTTGAAAGGCCCAGAAATGTGCAGTGATTTTGGAAGCAGAGCCTGTGTACAAAAATATAGCTAAAACCTCTAATTGCAAACTTGCTGTTGGTGTCCTTCCAATTATCTTGTTCTGGCTTGGCACTGCTTACTTATTTTTATGCATATGTTAGCATTTGACCTTTTCTTTTGCCCTTAGCTGCTCATCACCTCAATTTTCCAAGCCTTTTTTTAGCGATTTAAGTGTTCCTAACCTTTGTGTTGTGTGCCGCCTGCTGTGATGCCCAAGCTGGGCTGAAGCGTCTGCTCTGTTGAAATCAGGAGAGTGGTGAGCAAACTGGGCAGCTGGAGCGTGGTGGCTTGGCCTCTCCGCTGCTCTGTAGGTATCCGGGCTGTGGCAGCACTGATGCCCATGGCATCGGTTTCATTTGCTTTCCTTGTGAGCTTCACTGCTGTGGTGGTAGGAGGTCAGGACCATCTCTGGCACTGCAGAAGGCAGTCTGAACAGGGCAGACCCACGTGAACGCATCGGTCTCCCAGGAAGTCACTGGCAGTAAAGGGATGGTGGCACCTTTGAAATGTGGCAGGAACGGAGGAGACCTTCAGGCCTGAGCAGAGAACCACGCGGTCTCTTTAGAAGGGTGGGGTGTAAAACCTGGTGCCTTAAATCTGTAAAAGGTTACAAAATGCTGCCCTGCTTGTTGTGCTTCGAGACAGAGGGTTACTCCAATGTTTCTGCTATGACTGGAAAGTGTCTGAAGCCTCTGGGGAGATATCCCCATGATACGAACTTTTTGCCAGCTGATGTGAATAGGAGGAGACAGCACTCGGCGTTTGATAGCACTTGCAAGGCATATCAGCAAACGGAGCAGCGCTGGGGCACGGGCACTCTCTCGCTGGACTCCCGAAGCGGGCTCTTGCCTGGCTTGGTGTGACCCAGCCAGTCTGTGCAGCGGGTGATGCCAGGCAGCTCCCAAGCACAGCTCAGGGGTCAGCGGTGGGAGAAATCAGCCTGATTTTGGGGAGTAACGGAATTCAGCGCATTGATGCAAGCCGTGTTGGTTGTTGTTGGGGCCCGAGAGCAGGCTCTGGCCCATTTTGCCTACTGACAGAGAGGTAGCCACTGAGTTCAGACAACATGCGTCGTGCCAGAATGAACATAAAATCTTTTTACTTTTTGGAGGCACTTTGCTAAAATAGGCCAGCCCTAAGCTTGGACTGCTTTCTTCAGATTAAATAAATGTTAGGCCTCTGGTGCTTATTTAGTTATCAGTGTCTGAAGTTGTGTGTTGTCCTGGGGGTTCTTGTTTGCCTGGGAGTTTTGGTAGCAAACAATCTGGCATGTCATTCTGCACGGATCTGTCTGTGTCCTGCAGCAGGAAACACACCCTTTCTATGCAACAGTCGCGTGGTGACGCAAGGACCGATGCTGCCTTCAGCGGCGAAAGCTGGGCTCTGGCGTGATGGCTTTCCTGGAGGTGGACACGGAATTGTCCAGGGAAGGGATGGGAAGCTGGAGGGGAGATGCTGGTTTCTTTTAAATGCTCGTTTGGCCTAGGATTAAGATTCTTTGTATTGCTCCCTGGCTGGCTTACCAAAGCTGTGTTGAAATCAACCAACTCAAAGTGCATATTCGCGTCCTTCCTGTATTGTAAAAGCTGCCTATGGCTGAAAACTTAGAGACAGAAAACATTTGGTCCATCCAAAATTGAAAGGAAAATGTATTTTGAAGTGTTCTTTGCAGCTAGGAGCAAGGGTTTGAAGTAACTGTGTATTGCACAGGGTTTTTTTCCAGTACAACAGTTTTACTTGCCACTTTAATTGACTTTATTCCACAACAACAGCTTCAAGAGAAACAGCATAAATAGCGATGCTGTCTCGAAAACCACCACGTTTCAAATCTCTCTGTAAATTCTTGAAGTGTTTCCTCCTGTATTTTCTTCTTGAATCAACTCCTTGATTTTTCCCTGGTAAATAAAGCGTGGTGGCACCAGGTATTTGTGTGCTGCCCAGCGGGCTGCCTGCCTGCAGCGCAGGTCAGCCACGCTGCCTAAAAGCCAAACACCACCCCCAGCTCCTCTTTTTGATGCTCTGAAATTGCAGCGCTCCCGTGGACAAGCTAGAAGGTACAAATGAAATCTTAATCGAAGTGAGGGAGCGTCCTTTTTTATTTGTGATGATAGGGATGGCAGGGCAGTAGGGAAGTGCAGGCCCCTTGTCGAGACCTAGCAATAAATGACTCTTCATTTGCTGTGTCTTAAGCTCCTAGTAGTCCAGGAGTTGTTCAGACTTTACCATTTCTGTGCGTAACAACCAAATTTTCAGCGTGAAAATCTGCAGAGTGATTCTCTTGACTTGGACAATCTTCTGAATTATATTAAAAATATCTGTTAGTTCTTAGCTCTTTAGATTCACTTTGGGTAGGTCAAAAAAGTAACTCTTGGGAAAAGAAGAGAAAGCCCCAAAACTTTGACTTAGTACATTTCCGTTAGAAAACGAAGCATGGTTTTTGTGGAATTCTGTGCTGTTTT